AACAGTTAAATGCATTTCCTATGCATGTAAACACACTCATTTGGGATGGTATGGGGATAACCTAAACAGCAAGTCACCCCCTAATCGACTTTGGTTTCTGATAAATTGTACAAATGAGTGTTTACTCGAGCTGTAGACTTGTGTAGTCATTATATTAGTTTTTCAGTGCTTATTTATTAAAATTGTAATAATCAGCCTAAACCCATCAGTGTGGCGCCCTCTTCTTGGTAAAATAAGTAGCACAGTGTGACATTAGCGCTTACCATATGATGTCAGCTGCACTGGCGCTGCGGGGTATAACAGTAGCTGAGTCTCGGCCTCAGCTACTCCTCTGTGGTGAGTTGGAATAGGAAGAGAGTGTTAGCTTGGAACCAATGGCCTCGGGCAAGTCATGGACCATCAGTAAAGCCTGGTTTATGCTTCTCCGTCAGCTCCGCAAGGGACAGACACGCACGGATTGACGGAAGCGTTTTGCTCTCATACTTCTCCGTCTCCTGGAGAGTGTTGCAAAGCAATTCCCCGGCAGGACCACAGAGGGCGTAGCGCTGTTCTGTGGTATCCTGTCATGTATCGGTCCAAGATCGTGTGTTTATATTGTGTTTTTTGTGTATATAAGAGACTTTTAACACAGACATATTTGTCTCTCATTCTCCCACCGCTTCATGCGCTCCCCACCTCTAAACCCATGTTTCCTGTCATTTCCGTCCACAAATAAAATGCTTGCTGCGCATCTTTTCACTCCTCCAGTCACGGGGGAATTAAACGTTCATATTTTTTAGTTTTTTCGCGAGGTATTCTTCAAGCTTCTCCATGTCTGCCGCTAGTTATCCTCAGCTCTCTTTGCAATGGCGTTGTTGTAAACAACAGCGGTGTCCTGACCAATCACAAGCTTGCGTAATCCGTCTCGTTCGACGGATGTTTAAAACAGTGGGCTCGACTCCGTACGTACTTGCGTGCCTGCCGGAGCCCTACGCAAGGACGGATAATGGCGTTGCGTGTCTCCGCACTGACGCAGACGGAGAAGCATAAATCAGGCTTAAGTAACGATACGGCTTAGGGCCGCTTGCCTCCTCAAAGGGCGCTCACACACCTGAGTGAGTACGGTCAGGGGAGGATAACGTCAGTGTGGCCTCACACGATCAGTGTATTGTGCACATGTATTTCCAATGGTGTTCTTAGGAATGCGGAAATCCCCGAGCATGCGGGTGACGTTTAAGAAGAAAGTCCACGGTGTTCCCCTTAAGAAAAACAGAGGCGGGTGTGAGCTGCGCTGCTTTTAGACACTCTGAACCACATTATTTTAGTAATTTGCTCCCTGTTCTCTCAGTGCCGTGCACGTCAGAGACGTTCACGGCTCAGAGCGGGAGCTCTGTGCCAGAGTCAGAGATGTTTCTTTAACAGTGTCCAGGGTGAAAAGTAATCGTGCATGCATGCACCCCCGCTGGCTGATTCTGTTCGCCAAACGGAAACAGTAGGAGTGAATTTCAGCCACTTAGTCCGTCTGTGAGTCACCTCAGTCCCAGTTGGACTTCCGAAAAAGAAGTCTGAAAAAGCAAAAACTAAATAGAAAAAATGAAACAAAGTTCTGCTCCTGTACCTGACTGTACTGAGCTTGATGTGCATGCACCATAATAACATGTCCCTCCCCACTGGTGAAGGAGGAGAAGGGGTTGGCAGAGTGTGTCAGTCGCAGCTTAGCCCTCTCTGCATGTCTTCAACATTCCCACTATCCTAATGGGTGTAACCCCGCCAGGAGAGCTGACCACTGAGCAGGATTGATGGTTTATCCCTTGAGGTCCACGTGGCAGGGGTGAGGAGTGACCACCTCACCCCTGCCACATGGACCTCAAGGGACCATCAGTCCTGCTCAATGGTCAGCTGTCCTGGCGGGGTCACACCCATTAGGATAGTGGGAGGGTTAAACAGGAAATGTGGGTGGAGGAAGGGGGGTGATTTACTCTTAAAGGCACTAATAGCGTAAAACTGATAATATTATTATTGTAATAAACAGGTGTGCCAAGTACAGTTAGCTTGTTGCTGAAAACATTTTTGGAGACCTTGGAGGGGGGGCTGGAGAGCACTCCTTCCGGTGACTCCCTCGTTCTGCTGGGAGACTTTAACGCTCACGTGGACAACGACAGTGAGACCTGGAGAGGTGTGGTGGGGAGGAACGACCCCCCTGATCTGAATTCGAGCCGTATTTTTGTTATTGGACTGCTCGTCATGGATTGTCCATAATGAACACCATGTTCAGACATGAAGGTGTCCACGTGTGCTCTTGGCACCAGGATACCTTAGGCTGCAGAACGATGATCAACTTTGTTGTCGTTTCATCTGATTTTCGGCCGCATGTCTTGGACACTCGGGTGAAGAAAGCGGCAGAGCTGTCTTCTGACCACTACCTGGTGGTGAGTTGGCTTCGATGGTGGGGGCAGATGCCGGTCAGACCTGGCAGACCCAAACGTGTTGTCTGCTGGGAACGTCTGGTGGAGTCCCCTGTCAGAAGAAGTGTCAATACCCACCTACGACAGAACTTTCAAAACGTTCTTGGACGTGGGCCACGTTCTGGGCTGCCATCGTCGAGGCGGCCGACCGGAGCTGTGATCGCGGGGTTATTGGTGCCCGTCGTGGTGGCAATCCCTGAACCCGCTGGGGAACACCGACGGTTAGGAATGCCGTCAAGCTGAAGAAAGAGTCCTATTGGGTCTTTTTGGCCTATGGGAGTCCAGAGGCAGCTGATGGGTACTGGCTGGCCAAACGGAATGCAGCCCTGGTGGTTGCAGAGGCAAAAACCTGCGCATGTGGTCCCATTGTCTTCATGAGAACGTGATCTCCGGCTCTCACTGAAGCAGTACGCAGCCGAGTGTGAAGCAGCTGGGATGACAATCAGCTCCTCTAAATCCGAGACCTTGGTCCAGAGTATGAAAAGTGTACAATACCTTTGTCAGGTCAGGGACGAGGTCCTGCCCCAAGTGGAGGAGTTTACGTATCTATGGGTTCTTGTGCAAGAGTGAGGGCAAGCTGGAGCGTGAGATCGACGGGCAGATTGGTGCTGCATCTGCAGTGATGCGGGCGTTGTACCGATCTGTCGTGGTGAAGAGAGAGCTGAGCCTCGACATATATACCACACAATTCATGTCCACAGGCTCGAATTACAAGGTTTTGTCACCAAATGGGAGGCTAACACCACCGCCATTTTGTCACATGTCCTGTCACGCCCAGACAGTCCAAACATGGGAAAAGAGGTGGAGCTGAAGGCGGGGCTGTTACATTTCGAACAGGGTTGGACCAAATGAACCAGCGAAACTACAAGCTAACTTAGCCCAAGAAGCTAAGAAGAGCTACTTAGACCAGGGAACCCCACCTGCATGGCAGACTGTCTTTCGTGCGAGGCTGTAGTCATGCTGGTCACCTGTGGAGATCTATTTTGGACCAGGACACTTTTAGTTATTTATTTAGTTGGATGAACGTCGACTAGGGGCGCCATTTCTTTTGCTAGTTGAGCTAGTTGAAGCCATGCTGTGCATTGCAAACAACAACAACAACACCAACAAAAGAGCCTTCTCAGGGGCTACTTTTCTCTTTGTTAAATACTCGTTTCACGCACTGTTTCTATGCTTTTGCCATCCAATATAGTGGACCTACGTGATCAGGTGACGTAGGTGCAACGGGTCAATAACGGCTGCTAATTGCATGGCAATACGCTTCGTGGATGTTTGCTTACAAGTCTAAAGGCCCAGTTCATCAGTACATTAAATGACTAAGAAAACATTTCTTTATTCTTGATGAAGCGACTAGATTATTTTACCAAATGCTACCAACATAAATAAGATTTCCTGCCTTTTTAAAATAAAACAGAGTTTTGCATTAGCTTCTGCAAAGCTAACCCTAAATAAAAACTGTATGCACTGAATAAACTTATCTTCCAAAGGGTCCTGATTGTGTCGGGCAGGTTTTCTAAACAAATTGTGCCAGTTTGAATACTTTAGAGCAGGCGTGGGGAACCCTGGTCCTCGAGGGCCGGTATCCTGCACGTCTTTGCTCCAACACTTCTGATTCAGTGGTTGCTTCGCCTGTTCAGCAGCTCATCAGGCTCTGCAGGAGCTTGTTAATCACCTGCTGATTGAAATCAGGTGTGCTGAAGCAGGGTTGAAACTAAAATATAATGGATGGCGGCCCTCGATGGACCAGGGTTCCCCACGCCTGCTTTAGAGGGTTAAATGAGACCCCGAAGTCTGTTCCAAAATCAGAAAACAGAAAAAAAAATCTCCCGTCTGTCTGAAGCACTTTTCGGATTCTTGTGTCTCACAGTGTTTTGAGGCCAGTATTAAATGTAAATGCTGCTTTTCCTTCCACGGGCTTTGTGTGATGTTGTGGGATTCTGGGTTTTATCATCCCACAAACAATTTCACCTTACAAGCTCATTGTTCTTTAACGTTAACAAGAATTTTAAATTTTAAAATTTTACAGAAAAATGTAAATATTGTTCATGAAAACACAATAAAACGGCCTAAACCACTGATAGTGTGTGTGTGTGTGTGTGTGTGCGCGCGCGCGTGTGTGTGTGTGTGTGTGCGTGTGTGTGTGTGTTTGCGTGCGCGCGTGTGCGTGTGTGTGTGTTGTGTGTGCGTGTGTGTGTGTGTTGCCGCTAGAGGGCGATGTTGACCCTGTTTCCTCTGCCTAAGGGGCGCAGCACTGAAACAAGCTCCATGCACTGCCAGGTTAAGGTAGAGGGTGTTTTTGACTTCTTATGAAAATAATGTCTAAAAGAAGTAATTTCTTTAGAAAATGAAATCTTACGCAACGAGAGTCACGGCAACACTTGCACAAACTCATTTATAAGAAACCCTCAGAAATAAATCCACTACGCTGCCGCTCCCGCATCAATCCCTGATTGGCTATCATCGGGGCTGTTCCGCCCAGCTCGCGTGTGATTGGTCCGCTGAGCTGCCATCATCTGAAGAACCCGCTCCTGGCTTGGAGCAGCAGAGACGCACCACTGCTCCTCTCTCCTGCTGCTCAGTGTGAAGAGGAACAGAGGGGAGCTGGCTGCGCGTCCAGACAGCAGCGGCGCAAGTTTCCTTTCCGAGAGCCGCACACACCCCGGGCAGCAGCCCCACATCCTGCGGGAGGAGGACCATCCTGCGTCTCCCTCTGCCTCGTTATCTCCGACCCTGCTGGTGCAAACGGACCTTCTACGTTCCTCTGATGATGAGCAGCTGGAGTCATGTGGAGTAACCCAGGGACGGTGCAGCGCTTCTCGCTGGTGTGTCTTCTCCTGACTCTGTGTGTCGAGGTGAGAACTTCATCCGTCTTCTCTCATCCCCGTCTGGTTACCGGTCCATCAGACGAGCCTTGCGCTCGATTTTGCAAAGTTAAATTCTAATTTTATAGTTTTACAGTCACAACCCTGGAATAAAAGTGCAGTTTTTGTAGATAACTGAGTTTTACAATCATCAGATAGTTTATTTAAAGAATAACTAATAATTATAATGTTCCACTTAATAATAATAATGGCCTAATAATAATAATAATAATAATAATAATAATAATAATTATTATTATTATTATTATTATTATTGATGCTGATGTTGATGATGTTGCACATTACTGCACACATTTCCTGATCTGCACGCCTTTCTTTTCGCGGAAAATCCGTGTTTGGATGTTGCTGTAACACATTTCCCAGAACGGTGAGAGCGAAGCAACAAGACAAGAAAATAAAAACGAGATGAAACCAAACGATCCTTTTTGTTTCCATGCAGCTTAGATGTAAAAGTTGTTTTCCAGGCTTGTTGCCACTGACCCCGCTGACCCGCCTCTCCTCTCGCAGGTGTGCCGGTGCAGCGGCTACTTCGAGCTGCAGCTGATTTCGGTGGAAAACCCTAAAGGTCAGCTCCTGAACGGGGACTGCTGCGACGCAGAGAGGAGCGCCGCGGACGGCCTCTGCGGCGCGGACGAGTGCGACACCTACTTCAGAGTGTGTTTAAAGGAATACCAAAAGGAGGTGACGACCAGCGGACCGTGCACCTACGGCTCGGATACTACTAAGGTTATCGCTGGGAATACTTTTCAATTCAAAGGCGGGCCGAGTCGGCATGACATCGGGAAGATCGTCTTTCCCTTTGAGTTCGCATGGCCGGTGAGTGAATCCAGATTTTAGTGGCATAAAAAGTCATTGTCGGATTTTAGGGGTTTGAGGTTGTGTGTTTGGGACAGAAGAACAGACTCAAAGTTGTGCGTTTTGTGGTCGCCGTGGCGCAGTTTGCTGTTTTTCTGCTGCTGGTCTTCCTTCAGTTGTCTCAGAAAACCTTATTTCCGTTTCATCCGTTTGGAAAAAATATAACAGAACCGAGATTTTGGAAACATTTCGTGTTTCTACAGCTGAATCCACGAGCGCGCCTGACGCGTGACTTTTACGCACGGCATGCGGCCGCAGTTGCGTCTCGGTTAGTTTTGTCCAGGGTGAGGAGGGTTTTTCAATCGGTGCTGGTTAAGAGGTGGCAGGTAACTCATTATCTTCCTCAAAGAGAGCAGCTCCTCACGTGCAGAGCCAGCTCCAGTTGGATCCGAGCTGCCAGTCAGAGCTCTGTGAAGGTGTGAGATCCAAGAGCGACCAGCTGGTGAGGAGCAGGACCTGAATGAAACTAGATGTTAGTTACAGCCTGTCGTGTGTTTCCCTTACAGCTTCTGTGTGAACAGGTCTAATTTGGCTCTTAGAACAACCTCAGTTTGGAGAAACATAGATGACTTCAGATGAGCTAAACGGTTTCTAATGTCTTAAAAGGTCTCTAATCTAAAACATAAAGGTGGCAGTAGTCCACGTGTGAGGATTATTCGTATGCTACCTTCAAACTTCTGGTTTGCATTTCATAACAGATCCGTCTGAACAACCAGGAAAGCCAACATTTATGAAAAAGTCAGTTCAAAGTAACATCAGCACAAACTGGTGTGAAGTCTGGAGTTGGTGGAGGATACTGGTGCCATTTAAGTCCAGTCAGAACTCTTTTCTATTTCTCCAAACTGAGGCTGTTCAAACTAATAAACCTTTCATTTCAAGATTGTTTTTTTTAAATTAGACTTATATTTTTGTGTTTTGGGAGATCTGACTCGCAGCTTAGAAACATCACTTTTGACTCCAGGCTCATCAGATGCATCAACAACAACACAATCCCCTTCCACGCATTCATTCAGCTGAATCTCCATCAGGTCAGAATGCACTTTGTGCGCCACGGCAGCTACACCACCGCTCCATTCATCACTCCTCATGGTCAGCTGTCAGCGGAGGGGAAGATGGAAGCAGTAGGTTGGGGCCCTGTGGGCGGATCTGGTTACCACAGACACAGGCGGTGGATATTGGTGTCACCAACCACTCAAACAAGTGAAGATTCCTGGTGAATCTGGGCTGTGGAGGCCTTTACCTCGCGGCCTCTCAGGTTCAAGCGGTGCCTGCTGTCGTTTCATTGTCTCACCCGGTGTGTGTGGGGGGTCAGCGTTTTCCTCTACCTGCCTGGGAGAGGCGGAGGAGTGTGTAAACGAGTGTCAGCCTCCTCTTTTCATGAAGATGTCGAGAGCAGATTCAGATGGATCAATCTGGCACGCTGCTTCTGCTTTCAGCTTTGTGGTTTGACAGATTCATATTTGGATGCAGGGCTTGGGATAGTGTGGTAATGACCCACGCGGCCGCCATTTTGGCGGCTTCCTTGTTATTTCAGACAGCGCGCTCAGTCTCGTTCTTGCGACTTGATTGAATCTATCATTTGTTTGATCGGTTAGGTTACGCATCTACGGTAAATCGTTGCTGCATTGTGGAGTGCAACACGTGATCGCCAGGGACAACGGTGGAAAACGGGCAAACTTCACACCGTTTTCCTGCTTGGAGGCAAAACCGCGGAGACCAAGTATCTCAGAGTCTCGTTGGCTTGCTTGGATCGCAGCTACAAGCTGATCAAACGTCCCCTTCAGAGGGTCCTGGTCGTTGTGTGAAAGTGTATTCTCATAAGTTACAGCTGGCGTACGTTTATCATACACCGTTTCTTTCCTTCAGCCGTGACACACACACACACACACACACACACACACACACACACACACACACACACACACACACACACCGGTAGGCTAATGCGGGCGCGCTGACACACGCCACAGCTTCTCCTGCTACACTTCTATAGGATGACAGTTTGATAGCTTTACTAGAAAAACCATCAGATGAGACGTTTACATCCGCTCACACACACAAGGTCACCGAGCGTGTCCGTTACACAAAGCCATGGTGGCAACAAGTTGTCCTGGGTGCTCCAGTCTTGGGTCTTTCACTTGAATCCTAACAATTTAAAACGATGATTCTGTCCCCGACGTCTTTACGTAGCGTATCCCCGTGTCTTCCACATCCTTTTCAGGATTTTAACTTGTTCTTTAACATCTCCTGTCTGCCAAATCTGCTTCCTCTCCGCAATGTACAGTTTGTTTACACGGTTTGTTTACAATGCTGAAGCTACCAACATGTCCACCACGTCCCAGACGTGGGATCACGAGCCCTCTTAAACTGGGTTTATCCAACTTTAGCTTCAACACTGGAGACGGAGTAGAGTTACAGAAGTTTTTATGAGACGAGCATCAGATCTGCACAAGATCTCTTTTATTCTTCTAAAACTGATCGTCTCTAGCAGGAAATGACCTGCTATCGTATAAAAAAGACTGCACGAGTAATAGAACACAATCCTGTTAGCGGATCTATGACTCTGGCCCAGAGACTGGAACTTTATTCTGAAGGAACAAACCTTCTTAGCCACCGTGATGGCTTCATGTTTCTGCTAGAGCTGCAGCAGAGCGGCCGCTGCTGGAGGCTGCTGTAGACACGATGGAATAATCAGGCTCCAAAGTACTTCAACAAATACTAGTTTTATCACTAAACACAGTCAGTGACACTCATTGTGACGCACCAGCCGGAGAGATTAAGACCATTCTGAGTTCACCTGGAAACCGGGACTCCTGGACAGAAAACGGTGGTGAGTTTGGTTCCTGTGGGATGTTTTACACGCCGCGACAGTTTGCTGGAATTTTGGATTGTTTTCCCAAAAGCATTTGCGTGAGAGCGAGTGGTGATGTTGGAGGAGGCCTGCTGCGTCTCTGCTCTAACTGGCGCTCTGTCGGGCGAAGGGTGGTGACGCAGCAACGTGCAGCTGTGGCCCCCAGTGGCTGCTGGACTGGACTCCTCCGGTCGGCCCCAGAATCTGGGCCAGCGGTCCTGACATGAATTAGCTGCAGAGAAAAACACGTTGTCCTCCCTCCTCGTCTCCGGTCCTCTCCCCTCCGTGTCAGATGTTCGGGTTGTAGTTGCATGCTTTCCTATGGGGGGGGATGATGGGCAGGGAGAGAAAAGAGGAGCAAGCGGGTGAGGAGTACTTTAAGGACTTTTCCTTCTCCCTTTTCTCCATCTCCGTCTCTTCCTCTGGGGTATTTTTAGCGCTGCTGTCCTCCCCTCACCCTTCTGTGAGTAAATGAAGGATCGAGAGTTTTCCTCCCTGTCTGCCCCCCTCCCAGCCTGGCAGCGCTGCAGGAGCAGAGGTGGAGCAGCTGTTGTTTGGAGACCTCCTGCTCCTCCTGCTAGAGTGAACGTTTCAGTGAAACAGCATCAGGAAAACAGGCCATGGTTACAGCCCTCTGATCACCTCTCAGAGGAGTATCAGTGGAATGCTGGACGTCGGTCACTCTCTTGCCTCGTTGTCCTCGGATGCTTGGCTCATTTGCAGAGTGCGTCCTTGGCACGGTGTCCTGCTCCTCTTTCAGGAGCTGCTGGTTGTTGGGATGAGCGGTTTAAGGACAAGACCTGAGGAGGAAGACAAGCCCACTGGGACAGGGGGGTCACGTTCCATCAGAATCAAGGTTCTTGTTTATCCAGCCTTGAAGCCTCCCACCTCCACGTTACGGGACTTCTGAGCACATCAGCAGTTTAGACTCTGACCTGTCACCAGTTTGTTGCAGTTTAGGGCCAACGAGTCCAGAAGATCACTGGAAAATCCGTAAAACCTTTCCTGAACTGGTTCTAAAAACATCTTCATTATTGACGTGTTTTGTTCTGCGATCTGGTTCTGGTTCTGTGCCACCTGTTCAGCTTTGGGTCTAAACACGGGGGCAGCTCCGTTTGCTGCGCTGTGATCTTCATGTTGTGACCATATGAAACACATCTTTCAAACATCTGTTTGTTTTCTCACGCAGCACGAGCAGAATCCGTGCTGCCCGTGGTGACGTGGAGGCGACCGTCTCTCCTACAGCAGCACATCTCACTGATGCTACTTTGGTGAAAAACACAACTTTTAGCCAACTTTGCTGTTTTTTTCCGTCTTTTATGAGCGGTGACGTTAGATGAAGTTAGATGAAGTAGAATAGCAAGTGTCGTAGCTCATCGAGTCCTTCAGATGCAGCTGGTGTGAGGGTGTTTGAAGAGCGTGAACTTTTATCGTTTTCTACTGAACAGAGAAGCGAAACTCGGCCCACCCTAATAAAACGTGTGTTTTTATAGACGTCCGTGTTCTCCGCGTTCTCCCTCCATGAGAACCACCTGTAGCTAAATTTGTTTTGCATTACAAAGCATTTGGCTTGTTAGCTTGTTTTGCGAGCTCTAAGGGCGTCCGGGCATGTTCGCCTTGTCAGTTTGACTTTTTGTCTCAAAGCAAAATGGAAAAAATATAAAAATGTTGCAGTTCCACAATTAACTCCTTCAGCACCGCTAAAAGTTGCTGCGAGCTGAAGTCCTGCTGACACACAAACATCGACGGCCTGTGATGAAGAGGAAAGTACTTGAGTGAAGTACTGTGTAGCCTACGGCAGCGGTGCTTTTGTTACGAATGTGCAGAATATGAAGAGGTACTAAACTGCCATGCTTTTGTTCTTTTTAAACACAGAAACAGTTTTGTTTACCTGTTTTGTTTACCTGTTTTGTAGCTACAGTTTCGCCGACGGCTGCCGGCTTCTTCAGGCTGAGCGTCAGCCTGAAGAAGCCGGCAGCCGTCGGCGAAACTGTAGCTACAAAACAGGTAAACAAAACAGGTAAACAAAACTGTTTCTGTGTTTAAAAAGAACGAAAGCATGGAATTAGAACCACGACACAGCAAGAACACACCTGAGAGGTACTAAACTGATTTAGGCACAAACAGCCTCCAGAACTTTTAAATGGGGTGTCGAAGCTTGGGCACTTCTCTCTGAACGGTGACACCAACGGTTATGCTTTTTAAACATATTTAAGACGTATTAAAACTGAATTCTGTGTGTGTGTGTGTGTGTGTGGGGGGGGGGGGGGGGGCATGCTACCCCAGGCCACTCTCTGGACACACCGCTGCAGTGTTTAGGCTCCATCCTGGAGGAACGTTTGTCATGGTGGTAAAAAACCGAGTTCTTAAATTAAAATCCCTGCGAATGCTTGATTCTCGGTACTCACAAGTACAAACACGGACTTCTCTAATCTCACTGACCACTCCGAGATTGTAACACTGCGAGCTGTATTTGCCCATTCACACACACACCCGTTAGTTAAGTGTCTTGCCAAATGGCACTCCGGCCTATGTTGGGGGAAGCTGGGACGGGACTTTTTTTTACTGACAGATGACCATAATTCTGCCTGAGCCACATGGGGGTGGAATAAACGTTCAGAGCCTTTATGTGCTGCTCATTCGCCCACCATCTTCTGCCGCTAACTGACTTGACAGAAACGTCCTCAGATTTTGCACCAAAACAAACCAAACGTGTGCACTGTGCGGCCAAAACGATAAGTCACCACCTGGATCTAACTAAGCTAATAGGTAGGAGCCTCCTATTGGATAATTACTGCATGGGTGATTATCTTTCAGCTGACAACACATGATCTAACCCAACTGGTACAATGTTGCTTCTCATTTCTTACAAGCCTGTGGGGGCAGTGCTATGATCTGGGCTTGCTGCAGGTGGTCAGGTCTAGGTTCAGCAACAGGATGTGCTCCAAGAACGAGGTCAGCTGACTACCTGAATTTGCTGAATGACCAGATTATTCCATCTTCCCTGGTGGCACGAGCGTATTCCAAGATGACAACGCCAGGACTCATCGGGATCAGATAGTGAGAGTGGTTCAGGGAGCATGAGACATTTTCACACATGGATCGGCCACCACAGAGTCCAGACCTTAACCCCATTGAGAAACTTTGGGATGTGCTGGAGAAGGCTTTGTGCAGCAGTCAGACTCTACCATCATCAATGCAACATCTTGGTGAGACATGAATGCCCCAGACGAGCTGGTTCCCAAAGTCAGAGACTCTCTTGGTCAGCTTGCTTCTCACACCAAACCTTCTGTCGGGAGTCTTGGTGTGACCTTTGACCCAGCTCTCATCCTGGATTCTCATGTCAGTTCTCTTGTTCACTCTTCCTCCTTCCATCTCAGGAACATTGCTAAGCTGAGTCCCATTCTGTCTCGCTCTGAACTTGAGACAGTTCTCCTCAGAGGGGCGACGGTGGCACAGGGGTTAAGTGGTCACCCCGTAATTGGAAGGTTGCAGGTTCGAGCCCCGCTCAGTCTGTCGCTGTCGTTGTGTCCTTGGGCAAGACATTTAACCCCTCTTGCCTGCTGGTGGTGGTCGGAGGGACCGATGGCGCCAGTGCTCTGCAGCCTCTGTCAGTGCACCCCAGGGCAGCTGTAGCTACATCATAGCTCATCACAACCAGGATGTGAATGACTGATTGTGTTGTAAAGTGCCTTGGGGGTTCCAGGACTTTAGAAGGTGCTATATTAAATACAGGCCATTTACCATTTGCACCTTCATCTCCTCACGCTTAGACTACTGTAACTCTCTTTTCACGTGTCTGAGCAGAACCTCCCTGAACCGTCTACAGGTGGTTCAGAATGCCTGTGCTCGGCTTCTGACCAAGTCCTCCAAACACACCCACATCACCCCGCTTCTCCTCCAGCTTCACTGGCTGCCAGTCAACTTCAGGGTTCATTTCAAGATCCTGGTTCTGGTCTATAGGGCCTTACATGGACAAGCACCATCTTACATTGGTGATCTTCTTAGTCCCTACACCCCCAGCAGGTCCCTGAGGTCCAGTGATCAAAGCCTACTGGTTGTGCAGCACCAGGCTAAAGACCAAAGGTGACAGATCATTTGCTGCTGTGGCCCCCAGACTCTGGACCTCTCTCCCCCTGAGCCTGAGATCAGTGGACTCAGTGGTCTCCTTTAAACTCACCTGTTCAGGCTTTGGTGGGACCTTCATCACCTCCCTCTCCTTATTCTGCTCTTCCTAACAATTCCACCTTTCCCGGGATCCACTGATTTCCCACTTTCCTGTTCGTTTTCTCTCCCTTTCCGTACATTTTTGAATCACATTTTTGTTTGTTTTTGTGAAGCCCCTCATGCTTTCATCTTGAGAAGTGCTGTATAAATCACCCTTTTCTTTCTTTTAATGCATTACTGAATGGAAATATATCTGGTGACGTTGCAGAAGTTCATCGAAACACTGCTGCAGCGAATGTGTGTCGTAATCAGAGCTAAAGGCGGTCCAACGAAATATTAGAGTGTGACCCTTTTTTTTTTTTTTGTGGCAGCCCGTTCTTTGGGCCGGGTGGTGTAAACGCTCCGGTGGGACTACGCTCAACAAGGACACGCCCTGGATTGTTGCTGTTTTAATACAGTCTTCATCATCATCTTCATTCTGCTGCAACAAGCGTTAGCATGCACCCTCTCGCAGCTCCAGGGGGATTGGGTGAAGGTTCAGCTGCTTTCTCAACTCAGATGGGACTAAAATCACTGTTGCCCAACATCCTGAAGCTGCTCGCACACACGTCTGGGCCCACAAAGCCCCAACATCACAACTCTTGGTGTTTAGTGGAGAAAAAGATGATGAAGGCTGATGGATTCAACACAAAGATCAAACTCAAAGCATGTTTCAGGTCTCTGTCATTTATCTGAGAAATATCCAAGGAGTTAGTCGCAAGAGATGCGCTTGGGTCTGGGAAAAATTCAATTCATGGAGATTTAGAAACAGGATCAGCCATCACTGGTTTAACATCCACAGGTGGAGGTTCAGCTTGAACGTAGAAAGGTTTGCCTGCAAACAGAAGTTCCCGTCTCAGGATGTGCTGAAGGTGCTTTTTGTTCCTACGTCGGTCCTCAGGTGGACCACTGCTGAAGGAGTTGTTCGGGGTTTTCCCGTGACATAAATATCACTTTTCCTCTGAGACTGGAAACAAGGCCGCCTTAAATCTTTTGCTGTTGCATCTTTCAGCAGGAACAATGACATTCTAGCTCAGCCTTTGTGTCTGGATTTTGATTTGTAGAGAAAATCCAGGAGAGGACGGTGCAGAAACACAGGAACGAACAGAGAGAAACAGATCCAGGTGTGTTGGGCCAAATCTCAGCTGTACATTTGAGAGGATTTAAATAAGTCCCCTCTTGTGCTGCTCTTTGAACAACAACATGATGACATTGGTGTTTATTCCTGCTCCAGACATCAGCGTCTGTGAACTGGTCGCTGCATCCTGTGCAGAATAAATCCATTATCTAACATATTTATGTTTCCTTCTCACATATTTTTAATACGATCGATGTCATTAACACCAGAACCTTTTGGTTGGAGAGCCAACAGATTATATCTCCATCACAACCCCAGACTGAGATTGGTTCGCCAAAGCATGCTTGGTCATAGATGTAGATATAATAGAAGTCCCACTGCTGGAGCAACACATTCTCACACCCTAAGCGTCGGAAACAAACGCTTGGTCAGCCACTCTCCATGTCAGACCCCAGACGCCAAAAGTGCCCTTTTTCGTTACTTATGTGCAAAAAAACAAGAGAACTGACATGAGAATCCAGGGTGAGAGCTGGGTCAAAGGTCATGCCAAGACTCCTGACAGAAGGTTTGGTGTGAGCAAGCTGACCAAGAGAGTCTCTGACTTTGGGAACCAGCTTGTCTGGGGCACAGATGAGGATCTCAGTCTTATCTTCATTCAGCTGAAGAAAGCTCCCACCATCCAGGTTTTGATAGAGTCTAAGCAGGTGTGTAACAGCTGCAGCTTAGACATCTCATGGGGCTTAAAGGAGATGTACAGTTGGATGTCATCTGCATAAAGATGGTAAGAGTTGTGCTGAGGAACAGTGGATGTCCCAGCACAGAACCTTGTGGGACACCATGGGTAAGGGAGGTGGTGAAGGACCTAAACTTGGAGACTGCCACAGAAAAGGAGCACTCAGAGAGATAAGAGGAGAACCACTCCAGAGCAGTTCCTGATAGGCCTACCCAGTCTCTCAGCCTCTCCAGTAGCAGGTGATGGTCAACAGTGTCAAAGGCTGCAGTCAGGTCCAGCAGGACCAGAACAGAACAGTCCCCTGCATCACTGTGAGTCAGAAGGTCATTAGAGACCCTAAGAAGAGCTGTTTCAGTAGAATGAGCTCTACGAAAACCTGACTGGAAGCTATCATAGATGTTATGTTCATCAAGAGCAGCTGTGAGTTGTTTAGCCACAACCTTTTCCAAGATCTTGGAGATGAACGGAGGTTTAGAGATGGGTCTGAAGCTGCTATGGAGAGAGAGGTCGAGACTCGGTTTTTTAAGAAGCGGGTGGATTACAGTGTTCTTAAAGTAAGCAGGGACCTGAAAAGCTTTTTTAACAAAGATGAGGGTAATGTGTCAAGAAAGAAAGAAAGAAAGAAAGAAAGAAAGAAAGAAAGAAAGAAAGAAAGAAAGAAAGAAAGAAAGAAAGAAAGAAAGAAAGAAAGAAAGAAAACATATCACAATCTTTTTATAAAGAGGGTTTCATAGAGTCAACTAGTTTGGTTGGTGTAGGCAAAGGAACAGGAACAAAGCTATCTAGTACGACAGTTCAGGCTGGAGTTCGAATAAGCAGAGATAAAG